GTACATATTGATTCTGTGTGTGTCTAGCAGAGTGTGGGGACGTGCATTTCATGTAAACAGCCTGACTACATTATATGAGACTACATCATGTTCAGAGTATCAACTTACACATCTCTGCTATGGCACAAAGGGGGTACAGCTGTTTTCCACTGAGGTAAATGATACTCGTGTTTGCTGTGGATATTGAAGGGGATTGTCTTGCCTGAGCTTCCTGCATTTCCCATGCAAAAATGTCCTATCAGCAACGTGCCTTAACTGTACATGCTTCCTTATCACAAAATGATAAGGATGTTCCTTGAAATTATTAAAAAGCCTTTTATTCTCTTTAAATACCTTTTCTTTTTAGCGCCTTTGCTCTCAGGCTCTGCCTTCCCTTTGGTTCTGGGCCTGATGAGGGACGTGCCGCCCTGCTGTGAATTTAGGGGAAGGAAGCGCGGATTGCGAAGGAAGCTCTGTCGATCTTTCAGCTTCTGAAGTTTCTCCCAGCCTTCCGCTCGATCCTTCACACTTGGCTCACCCTTCCATTTTGGCTTAGGCTTGGTCTGGTTTGGCTTGGAAGATGATTTTGATGGAATTACATTTAAAATTTGAATGCACGTTGTTCCCAGGTTGTCTTTTTTTGCAATTGTTTATCAACCTTTTTATCCAATGATTATTATTTTTGATTGTATTTGGAGAAGAAACACAAAAATTGAATTAAAATACCTACTCAACCTTTGCCCAGGAAAAAGGGATCAGCAGCAATATATAAAGATCTTATCAATCTCCTCACCTCCCTTTCCTTCCTCCTTGGGGTGTCTGAGCAGGACTCAAAGGTCACACTGTGGTCTAACTGGATGTCTACAAAGCCCGTCTTTTCTGGGCTGCGAATGACTGTGTAACCATCATCCTGAGGCTTTCGGGACACATGCATGGTGAAGGCAATGGTTGGTTTGGCAGGATTCCACTTTTCTGACAAGAAAAGAAAGTTTGTAGCACCGAATCACTGGCAACTAATAAATTTAAGATAAATGTTAAAGAGGGTCAGATACCTGCTGCTGGTGCTCGTACATGTGGTTTTTGTGTAGCCAAGTAATCCTTTGGGGAAATCAGATTATTCATTTCAAGAAGATCTTCATCCACACACCAGGAAAAGGCTGATTTGACTGAAAATAGGTATAAAAATCAAATCAAATGAGGCATTCTGAAAACAAATAAACACATGTAGATGGTGGGATTAAGCAAGCATGATGAGCTCTTTGGTAAATGAGTGCAGAGATACATACGATCTCAGTGAATCAGTCCCCTCATCATCTTTTTGTGTTCTTATTCTCACCTTCATTACTACTCTCTCACGTCTCTGATTTATTCTTAGTGCCGATTGGTTGCAGAAGGCTCACCACACACATATAAACCTAGACAACGCAGTGGTGGTCAGAAACTAGTGTCTTGGTCCCTCATTCCTCATCCCTCAACTTCATGAGCACTGACTTTATCTTTCTGTTATCAGCTTTGTTTACTAAGTATAGTTGAGTTTGGAGTTACCAGCAGACCTTTTTTCTGTTGCGCTTCTATTACTCTAGTTTACAAAAACTACTAGGAGAGAAGCCTGAATCCAATAGCCCGCTGTGTGGTTGGTTCATGGACTTCTTCCTCTTTTGTTTGTTTTAGCCGGAGCTCCCACCTCTTGTTTGTAATTTCATGATTAAAATCTTGTTGAATGCCACCAGCGTCATGACATCTTATATGTTAGGTTCCTTTGAGCCATACATTTAGGGACAGAAACACCAGTATATTACAGCAATATAACACAGTTATATTTTTAAAAGTTTT